CAGGCAAAAATAGCTGGAACAAACAGCTGGAGTGTCCCTCCCTGAGCAATGAAGTTCTGGGTAGCAATGAAGTCTGAAGGTAGAGGTGATGTCAGTGACCCCACAAACCAGCAGCTGGTACTGGGCAGCAAGAGGCAATGAGAATCCTACAGAAATCATAGAATAGAATCATCCAGCTCGGAGGAGACCTCCGAGACCATCAAGTCCAGCCATTAACCTGTCACTGCTGTAACCCCTAAACCCTCCAGTGCCAGACCCAGACACCTCTTAAACACCTCCAGAGATGGCAACTCCACCACCTCCCTGGGCAATATCCCAGTGCCTGAACACCCTAACAGGGACACATGTTTCCTAACATCTCCTCTGACTCTGCCCTGGCTCAGCTCAAGGCCAGTTCCTCTAGTCCTCTCCCTGCAGCAACAGCAGGAGAAACATCCCTCACCTCTCTCCAACCCTGTCAGGGAGCTGTAGAGAGCCATGAGGTCACCCCCGAGGCTCTTCTCAAGGCTAACCCAATTCCCTTAACCCTCACTCATGTGCTCTAGGCCTTTTCTGAGCCTCGCTGCCTTTTGCTTTTGCTCAGAACTGAGATTTCCCAGAAAACTATCCTAACAGGAACCCCAAACACAGGCAGAGACAAGCCTAGAAGCTTGCAGAGCCAGGCTTCCACTGATCCACGCCCAAATCACCTTCACTCCACAGGGCTGAACCACACAGCTCCTGGGGTTTCCTCCAAGCAGACAGCATCTGTGCCAGAGGTGTCCATCCAGCCAAAATCCACCCTGAGCAACACTGACCTGTGTCTCCTGCACTCAGTCTGAAGCTGTTTGCCACCTCCTGCCACAATGAGCTGTTATGGAGCAGGGCAGGAATTCTGCTATAACAACCCTGAGTAAACAAATACAAAACAAATCCTTGTCCTCTGCACAGTCCAATGTGGGGCTGCACCAATCCCTGATGCTCTGAGCTACTCCTGGGGAACACTTTTCCCCTCACAGGCTACAACAGGTTGTTGGCACTAAGGACACCCAAAAACTTCCTTCAAGGGAAGCCCAGGAAGAAAAACTCTGTCACACAGTAATCTCAGCCTCTTGCCCCAGATACCTGGAGATGGCTCTGATTTTGAGGCCACATGAGGATATTTACGGTCAGAACCCATGAAATCCATCTGTCTCTTAATTGCAATAGCAAGTTTTAATTTGGTGGCTGCATATATGCTGGAATTCCCCAAGAAAGACTCTCTAATTAGCTAGGCCTAATGGTCTTCACAGTCTCGTGCTTCCTTCAGACAATTTTTCTTGAAAAGAATGGGGTGAGGCTAATCTTGGAAACTTCTCAGTTCTATGGAAGAGAAATAAGAAGATAAAAGTGTCGAAATGAAGTGAGATGTGTTGAATTGGGACATTCTAGTCCAGAAAGCTGAAGCAGACGAAGCTGATGAAAAAGCTCTATGGAAAGAGGATGCCTTCCCTCCAAATGCAGGAGAGGAGACCAGCAAAGAAAATTATTTTTCCCTAAGTGAGCAGGAATTGGACATCCACAACCACTGCCCAGGGATGTGCATTCATTTAACAGGATTATTAGACATGATGACCTACAACAGCTGGAGATCAGGAGATTTACAAGCCAAAGAATGATAAATAACCTTTCTCCCACTCATGCCCAGATGGATCTTCCCTCTCTCCAGCTGCAGGGATGACCCACCTGCAGCTCTGCAGCAGCCTTGGGCACCCAACATGCCTCAGGACACTTCACCAATAGCTAATGGAGAAGTTTAATGTGCAGTTATCAAAGTGGCTACACAATCATGTTCTGCTTCACTGAACACCTAAATGTATATGAGGCTTTCAATTCTCCATGGAACCATTGCTCAAGAGAGACCTTGTTCTGTAATTGTGGGCAAAATGGGACAGCAATACACCTGGACAGTCAGGGTTATCTTAAATTCTGACTATTCCAGCTGGGAAGGCAAAGGAGTGAATCTGAAGGCTGCAGAGCAATGTGGTGAGGCAACAGTGATTGCCCTTGGGTCCAAGGCTTTTGAAATATAAATTCATTGGGTTTGAGAGGGTTTTGGTGGGTTTGTTTGTTTACATTCCTATCAATTTTCTTTGAATAGTAATCTGAAGAAATCCTGTCGGCAGGATTTGGGGCAGGTTGCAAAAACAGAATTAGGTTCTGACAGAGCTTTGGACTTCTGCAAAAGGCCATAAAAATATTTGTCAGGAAGCTCAGACCATGTGGTAAAGCTGGAGATGGTGAAAAGCGACAGAGACAATCACTGTCCAAGCAAGAAGAAATTGTTGAGCTGCACAAGCCCAAACAAACACAGTACACTTTGCTGAAGTTACCTTTGCAGCAGATCACTTTGCAGAGAGAAACCAAAACTCCATTTGTACCAGAAAATGGTAATTGCAGTGAGCTCTTGGCTGTTAAACTAATTTAAACCCCAGCAGAACCCTGCAGGGCAACTCCAGGATTTATTGCTGCCTCATGCTCCACAGTCCTTACTCTTAGAGCAAGTCAGAACCACCATCCTCATTGTTCAGCCAGAGCTGCAGGTGGGATCCCAGATTCCTCCCACTGAATTCCTGCCAAGTTCCTCTCCTCCAGCACTTGATTCTTCTCAAAATATTTATTTTTCATCTGACTGCTTGTACCACTACAGTGGAATTCACCAGTTAAGCTCTGCTGATGACAGACTATTTCAACTTGTGCTTATTTTGCCTCCAACATTTGGAATTTTGGGACCTCACTAACCATTTTGCAGGGACAAAGTTGGTTTCCAGAGAGGCAGACACCAGGTTTTTCATTCCATGCCTTCCCGTGCATTCCAGCTGCACCATGAGACAAGTTTGCTCTAACAAGTCACCTATAGCAGATGCTGCTAAGGAGTCACTAAAGCAAATAAACTATCTCGCAAAAGTCTGGGATGTTTGATGAATAAAACCTAAATAATAAACAAAAGTAAATCACAGCTTTTATTTAGATCAAAATCTGTGTTCAAGCATCACTCCAAGGTGACAGGAAACCTTAAGCCAAGTAGTGTTGCAAGTGTTTAACTCTTGCCAAAAAACCCAGACTGCACATTCACAGGAATTTTTCCTCTAAGCAGTGCAGCAAACAGAGTCATAAAAGCCGAAGAACCTTGCAAAAATAAGTAGCTTTGTTTCAATCTAGCAGCAGCCTCTGTCACTGGGAATGCTCAAGATGGAAATGCTGCCCAAGGCAAGCAATATGCTTCCAATATTTTAGTCCAAGTCCTCTCCTTTTCTTTAAATTACCCAGCTCAGAGCAGAGTATCCTCAGGAATAATTCCTTTCATGTCATGCCAGCTGGGTGACACAACGGAAAAATGCCATATGGCCACTCCAGAATAAGTAAAGCATTTCCAGTGCTTCCACAGCAGGAAGGAATTAGCAGCCTGATATCAATCCTGCTGCAAACCAGTCCCTTAGCAGGCCCAGCATCCCTCAGAAGGGAATCATGCTATACAGGAATGCCAGGAAGAAAGTGCTCAGAGACAGGTGGAACCATCACCTTTTGAGCTTGCTTTCCAACAGGAGAGCTGAAGCAACCTTCACTGCAAGATGAGCCCTCTGAGGAGCACCAAGGATCCCAGCACAGGGAACTGGGAAATAAAGGCTGCTCAACTACAACCTGCCACATGATCCCACACTGCTGGAATGTTGAAGCCATGTGGTTCATACCATTCTAGGAACATGGCAAGAAAGGCTCTGTACAACAGAGAAATGAAGGAAGTTCCCCAAACCCTTGCTCACACTTTGTTGCAATACACATGGCCAGCTGCAACTGCTCAGCAGAAAAGCAATCCAGCTTGTCTGGGAAATTAGGGAACATCTCTGATTCAGCCAGCCTCTTCCCTGACCATAGGAAAGGGGCAGGAGAAGCACAAACACATGTATTCTCAGAACACCCCATGGATTCCTATTGTACACGTATTTCCTCCATGGATTTATTGACGATCATTAGGAAGGGGGAGAAAAGGTAAAAGGGGAAGGAATGGCACAGGACAGTACCTGGATTTGCACATGCTTCCCACTGTCGTTACAGAGAGCAAAACATGCACAAAGACTCAGTAACACTGGGAGGAAATGTGAAGGTAGTTCACTGTGTCCCTTGCCCCAGACACCGAGATGCCCCATGATGACCCTTTTCCTCCTCCTGCCCTAGCTCAACCCTCAGAGCATCTCATTCCAAGTCTTTCCAAATCCAGACTAACTGTGGCTCACACTGCAGGTGGCTAGGGAAAGGCTGGAGAGGACTTCCCAAACTGTACATGGATCACAGGATTTTCAGCTGTTTCACTCACTGTGTATTCTGCATGTTTTTTCCCATACCATTTCATCCATTTTCTGAACTCTCTGTCCATGGTCTAGAAGAAGGAGGAAAAACAAAACAGCTATTAAGACATATCATATTACCAATTCCATCACAGTAATGGAGGCAGAGCTCCCAATGGTGCTCACTGACCCATGAGACTCCTGTCTGGTTGGGTTGGTTGGAGGTGTTTTGCCAACACCACCCCAAGGACAGGCAGACAGAGAGCTACTGCTGTTAAGTTTCCTTAAAAATCACAAACCTTTGCTTCATTAGGGCAAAGGCAGAGCTGGAATCCTCATCCCTCCCCCTTTCCATGGACATTCCATGTTATAAGTGAGGCACTCACACTGCTCAGCACTAAAAACAGCACAATCTTAAGCAGCTCTTGAGTTATGGCACATAATCCCACAGGGAGTGGGAGAGATGCAGCACAGCCTAAGCCAAGACAGCAAAGGGACAAACAGGAGGAAACCAGTTCTGCTGGAGTAAATGAGAAAGCCGAATGCAAAGCATCCCAGCAGCACCCAGAGGGAACATCCCACTTCCCAGAGCAACCAGGAATGCTTCAAACTACATCCAGACAGCCCAGGGCTGCAGAGGATGGAAGGCTGCTCCTGCCCATCCAGGGAGCAGCCCAGGGCTGCAGAGGATGGAAGGCTGCTGCTGCCCATCCAGGGAGTTGGCATCAGTTTTCCATTGCCCAAAGAGAGGAGAGAGGAACCAAACCCGCACAGCAAACACTTGGGTTCCGCACACATCTCATCACCACACGTACGGCAGCTTGGCCCCAGCTGACACACTGGCCCCGTGCAGCACAGGTCATGGCATCAGAGAGCACCCAGGGAAGTTAGGGAACATCCCTGATCCATCCAGCCTCATCCCTGACCATAGGAAAGGGGTAGGAGAAGCATAAACAACGTGTTTTCAAAACACCCCATGGGTTCCTATTGTACATGTACATGTATTTCTTCACTGGAAAGTGATTAACCAGGGAGAAGACTTTCTTAATGACCATTAGGAAGGGGGGGAAAAGGAAAAGGGGAAGCATTTCTGTTACACCTGTACAACATGCTGGACAAGTTGTCTTAAAAAACTCAAGGGGCTTGGAAGACTGGGGAAAAAATAGTCTTTAGGATTTGGCCCAAATTTGTAGGTGGCAGGGAAAGAATATAAGGAAGAGTCTCCCTCTCTGGAGACATTCCAAACCCACCTGGACACATTCCTGTGTCACCTGCCCTTGGAGACCCTGCCTGGGCAGGGGGTTGGATTAGATGATCTCCAGAGGTAATTAGACGGTTAGATTAGGTGACCTCTTCCAACCTCAACGAGTCTGCGATACTGCGAGAGAAGCCCGGCCAAAACCGAGACTTCACTGCCAGCTTGGAGATGGTGAGACCTCCCTCAGCAGGTCAACAAAAGTGTGTGTGCTGACAGATGTGTTTTCAAACTCCCTCTGTTTCCAGAGCACTCCAATGCTTAGTAGGATAACTAAAAAATCCTCAGTTTTTTCATATGCATTTACATTTTAAATTCTTTTTTAAGACAACTTCACTAAAACAAATCCATAACATTCTTCCTCTTTCACTGAAGCTTTTCAAAATCACCTGCAATAATTATCATAGTACCCAGAGATGCGTTACCAAGCCAAACTTAACTAGAAACCTAATCCAAGACCTTCCACAAATGCTTGGAGGAAAACTGGTCCCTGCCACAGGCATGAGGCAGATGTGCTGCACTCAGGCAGCTTCACCATTCTGACTGCAGCAGCTGTTTGGTTGTTAAAGCTGACACGATGTTGTCTGTAACCAGAAGAATAATGCAGAGTATTTTGTTCCCCCAGTAATCTCCTGAAATCCTGGTGTGTTTCTGAAGCTGAAGGTGCCCCTGGAGTTAATGCTCCTAAATCTCAATTTGTGGGTCATTTTTTTGTTTGCTGCTTTCACTAAAGCCTTGTGTTTGTACAGAAGCATGAAGGGGTATTAGTGAAAGAGAAAATTTCACTTTGCCTCCTTAACACTGAGCTTTAATAGTAAACACAGAGGAGATTCCAGGCCCTGCAAGTGGTCCCTGACAAAACCAGGACACTCACAAAGAGGACTGCAGAGCCCTCCAGCTGGAAACTTCCACTGGGTCATGGCAGGGGAAACAAAACGGAATTGTAGAGCCTTGTCTGATCCTCCTCAGCTCTGTGTTTATGCTTTTCTGTCCACACCACTGAAAAGGAGGATCAAGGAATTTTATTTTCCCTCTCCCTCCATGAGGTATAATTTTCCAGCCTGTACAGGCTGAGTCAGTGTGTTTTGACAATACAGAGGGATAAGTTTTCATTCAGTCTACTGAAGAAAGTAAACTCCTCATGGTAAGGCATGACTAACCTTTACTGTGTGCTTGTAGCTCATTTGCCTTGGAACTCATTATCTTTGTGTGTCCCATTGGCACAGAACTAGAGGTAGCGCAGAGAAACCTTTCTGACTGAACATATCACAGAACCACAGACTGGGCTGGGCTGGAAGGCACCTTAAAAATCATCCAGTTCCACCCCCTGTCATGGGCAGGGACACCTTCCACCAGCCCAGGTTGCTCCAAGCCCTGTCCAACCTGGCCTTGAATGCTTCTAGGGATGGGTAGCCCACAGCTGCTCTGGGCAACCTGTGCCAGTGCCTCACCATCCTTAGAGTAAAGTATTTCTTCCTAGTATCTAATCTAATCCTTCCCTCTTCAGCTTAAAACCATTTTATGGTTTGTTTCATTTACGTACCTCCTAAGCAGTTATGAACCAACATCCAAGACAGACCTCATCCATGAGCCTGTGACAGTTTTATAGCTAAGCTGAACTTCAGCTGTAGGACACCAAAAAGGGGAATCACAATCATAAGCAGAAACATGACCTTGAAAATATTTAAAAACTATTCGTTTGCTGAATTTATTCCTAGATTTGCTGAATGCTGCTGTGGCCTCTTGAAGCTGTATCAGAGCCTTCCCACACACAGAATAATTGCAGGTGTTTGGGTGAAGCTTGCACTGTGCTTCCTTTTGAACAAGCCCTTTGTCATTCCTGTTGAAACAGCTTTCAGGGCCTGGAAGCAGCACAGAAAGATGCTAACGTTTCCTTCTGTGCACTCCAGACTAGGCACACACTCCTTTCCCCAAGCATGCTGTGCTCCAGGTCTGTCTGACCTGAGAAGCAGAATCAAGCTGGACTCAGACTCTGTTTTCCCTCCTGCCTCACACTTGTCATCCTCCACCACTGAGTTACTGCACAGCCCTCACTCCCAACTCACCTCAGCATATTTGGCTGGAATATCAGCTTTCTCCACTCCATAGTGATGTTTGCAGTTTGTGGCTGCAGCCACCTGAAGCACCACCTGACCCACACCTGCAGGGGAAACACACCTAACCTGAGAATAAGTTTCAGCAGAAACCACTGCAAGGGAAGAGAAGAGTTATAGCAAAGGGCTACAGGGCAAAGCAGATAATGTGTGGAACTGAGCTACAGGGAACGATTTCAACTCCCTCATGTCTGACAGTTCCCACACGGACTCTGCCCATGGCTCAGCTGTGACACACACTCCAGTGTCAATCTCAGCTCCTTGTGCTGCTCAGGCTCCAAGATCAGAGTGCAGAGGTGAACAAGAAATACCTGATTTATTCCTGATGAGAGCAGGTAAAAGTATCTAAGGTTTGAGCCTGTTACTCAACAGCAGCACTATGGGATTTCAGATATGATCTTTAACCTTCCTGAACAAACAATTGAGAGCATCTATGGAATTTTTGCTTCTTCCAGATGGTAAAGAGTTTGTCAGATCTCATGCCTTTCTAAATGGCTCATCTGAACATCAGCCACTGACAGGAAATGTCAGACAAGCCCCACTGAGGGAAGAAGGGGTCTAAGAAAAGAAAATCACTGAGGGAGCCTGTCCTGGGCTGCAGTGTGGGGGTAACCCGTGGTATGTATTCTATTCTCCTCTCCACAAGCTGTTAAAGCAGGTAGGGGCAGTGATGGTTCTCTCTAGTCCCTCATGGCTCCCTCAGGGGCTGTCTCTGTTCAATGGGCTGTCAGGGACCCAATGCATGCAGAGTGTTACATCGTCCTATTGTCAGATGCTTCACCCCATGGGGGGAGCCAAGCATTCCCACAGGGATATAAGCTGGGTTTGGAGCAGCACAGATGCCCTTTGCCTGCTGGATTCCCAGAGGACAAGAGCTGCCGCTGCACCTTCGGGAGAGGAGCACATCTGCGGGATCACTGCCCTCAACAGACCCATCACTCCAGGAGGATGCAGCCACCATTTCATTGGACTACTGCCAACACCCTGACTGACAGGGTGCCAGGTCACTTTCTGACTCTGTCAGTGGTTTCTTTTTGTACTGTTACATTTGTTGTTTTGTTTTTCCTATTAAATTGTATTTCTGACTTGGAGTCTCTCACTGGTTTGCTTTTAAACCACCAGAGACCCTGACTGGAAATACAAGTTTCATGGGAATGACAATCCTGCTGGATTTAAATTTAAAACATGTTTTTAAATACTATTTTCCCCCACAAGTCCTGTACCACACCAGCAACAAACCCCAAACATACTTGATCCAAAACTTTACAACCCATCCAGTAAGAGGAGAAATTCTTACTACTCCTTTCCTGCTCTGAACCAGATTTTACCAGGAAAAAGAGCATCATCTTCTTACTTAATACCTCTTTTCCACATGTGCTTGACTCGTATCTGGTTTCCTCACCAACTAGAAATATCTATTTTCTCTTAAAACCTTAACCTGTTGCAGTTGTGGGTTAGACTTTGTGGGGTCTCACAAGCCAACTGTTAAAGAGAACCATAAAGTCTTTTTGGACACACAGACAAATATGTCAAAGGCAAAATCCACTTCATTTTCAGATTCCACACTGAGTGTTTACATGGGAAGGGCCAAGAAATTGCATTTTCAAATATGAAGGGAATTAAGGGAATCTACTGAGATAAATCCTTAGGAATAGAACTTTATCTTCCAAGTATCATTTTTAATATTGTTTCTTGTTTTATAAGTGCATCCACCAGTAGCACAGACACCAGGAGTTCTGTGTCAAGGGTTTATTGCATTTGTAAGCTGATATTTCACTAACATCACCAGAGAAGAATGCCTGGGATGTCTGTTTGGTCCATTGAATCACGTCATAAGAAGCAGAAGCATCTTTGGGGATTATCTAGAAAAGATGCTTCTCCTGTAAGCCAATCCTTAGTCCTGGTTTGTTCCTCAAATATGATTTGTTATAAAGAAAAGGAAAAACATAAACAAAAACAGAAGCCACTGAAGCTATTGGTCACTTACCACTGCCCAAGTCAACGAACAAATCATCCTCTGTCATTTTAATTTCATCAATCATTTGGGCCACTAAGTCAAAGGAAGTTTCTCCATAGACCTCGGGGGAAAAGGGCTCATAGTTGTTGAGCTTCTCTGGATCAGTGACCGAGTGGTTGTAGACCTGCTGCAGGATGTGCCGGAGGAGCCCGTTGGAGGGACGAGTGTTCAGCTTCATCGGCTGTGTCGTTCCCTTCCACTGAGGGGACAGAGCAGGAACCAGGTGGGAAGCAATGTGTGGACAAGTAAATGGAACCAAACCAACACTGCACTGGCACAAGGGAGAAATGAGGGAAATCCCCTCCCAGCTCCTCTCCCAGGCTGGGCTGGGAATGATACAAACAGTGAACGATGCCAATACGAGGGCTGGAGCAGCTCTGCCATGGAGCCAGGCTGGGAACGCTGGGGGTGTTCAGCTTGGGGAAGAGAAGCTCCAGGGACACCTTAAAGCTCCTTCCAGTGCCTAAAGGGGCTCCAGGAGAGCTGCAGAGGGACTTGGGACAAGGGCCTGGAGGGGCAGGACACCGGGAATGGCTTCCCAGTGCCAGAGGGCAGGGACGGATGGGATATTGGGAAGGAATTCTTCCCTGTCAGGTGCTGAGGCACTGGTACAGGTTGCCCAGAGCAGCTGTGGCTGTGCCATCCTTGGAGTGTTCCAGGCCAGGCTGGACAGGGCTTGGAGCAACCTGGGCTAGTGGAAGGTGCCCCTGCCCACGGCAGGGGGTGGGACTGGATGATTTTTAAGGTCCCTTCAATCCAAATCACTCTGGGAGTCCACCATGTTTCCTATGAAGGTGGTGAGACACTGGCACAGGTTGCCCAGGGAGGCTGTGGATGCCCCAACCCTGGCAGTGTTCAAAGCCAGGCTGGACAAAGCCTTGAGCAACCTGCTCTGGTGGAAGGTTTAAGCAGTTTAAGTTCCCTGCAGGAGCTGTCAGAGGGGCAGGATCAGATGTACTCCAACAGGGAGTGGCAGGAAAGAGATGGAAATCAATTTTCCTCTCTTCTTCAGAAAAAAACTTCTCCTAAGCAGGAAAGTTGACAATCTTTAAAAACATTTATCTCTCCCCTTCATAAGAAAAAAACAAACAAAAAAGGGTAACTGCAGAATCCCTCCCTAAACATTCCTGTGCTGGGATTCAGATGGCAAGAAGAACAGGAAACCAATCAGGTTTGCCAGTTCAGCAGCAACTGCAAATGCTGAATATCTTCCGCTGTTTAGCTGTTCACCAACACACACATGAAAGTGTCTAAATCCATACAAGAACAAGTTTTAGGGATTTGCAGGCCCACAAAATGCAGGAAATCCTGGCAGAAAAAAGCCTTGTTGCCACAAAACTGCACATTTCAAACAGTTCCCATGAACACAGCACAGAACAAAATCCACCTGTACTTTCAAATTCAAGAGAATAGTAACATTACTCATTGTTCCATGTTTTTGCTTCCTCCAGTTCAAGTTTTTCTAAGGGTAAGAGAACCAAAAAGCTCGTTAAATGGGTCTGAAAAGAGATTACATTCTGCCTCAGCCAGTGATTCCACAGAACAGAGCAGCAAGGAAATTCCTAAGCCATGGATCACTTCCACAACACACAGGAGAGTTCATATGGATTATTTAAGTACCCATAAGCCACAGATTTCCCCATGCAGAAGTAAATCTATATGAGAAATCCCTGTGGAACATCTACGTGCTAAATGCAGAGAAACCTTTTCTTCCCCCTCAACTAACTCAGCTGTTTCCAAGTGCCAAAATAGCAGTGCCAGAAGTGCACAGTGAAGAGCAGCAGCTAAGAGACCTGCAGTTTGGGAACAAAAAATGGGGTTTCATTTCTTTTCTTCCTATAAGAATGTCCCTCCAATACTAACTCCTGACTGCCCAGGTGTGATCAAGAATGTAAGGTTTAAAATCAGACTCAAGCCCTCCAAAAGAATGGAAGTGTTGGATATTGGTGATACAACTAGGATAACATATTCCAGCACTGAGCCAGTCACTGCTTTCTGGCATTATTCACTATCTGTGGATCCACAGAAGCACAGGATGGGTCAGGCTGGAAGGGATCACAGTGGGTCATCTGGTCCCACCTCCCTGCCCAAGCAGGGCCATCCTAGAGCACATGGCACAGGATTGTGTCCAGATAGTTCTGGAGTATCTCCAGTGAGGAGACTGCACACCTCTCTGGGCAATCTGTTCAGTGCTTGGTCACCATAGAGGAAAGTTCTTCCTCATGCTGATGTGGAACTTCCTGGGCATCAGTTCCTGCCTGTTGCCTCCTGTCCTATTGCTGGGTACCACAGAGTAGAGCCTGATCCAGCCTGACACCTCCCCGCAGGTACTGACAGACAGTTGTCTCTTCCAGAGGCTGGACAGCTCCAGCTCCTTCAGCCTGTCCTCAGGAGAGAGCTGCTCCAGTCCCTTCAGCATCCTCACAGCCTCCCCTGGACTTGCTCCAGAAGCCCCACATCCCTTTTGTCCTGGGGAGCCCAGACCTGGACACAGCACATCAGATGTGCCTCAGCAGGGCTGAGCAGAGGGGCAGGACACCTCAAAGCAGGCAGATAAAAACAGTGGCAGGGAGCAGAGGTGAATACATACCAGCTGATGGATGCTGTCGATGGCTCGGTTGTACTTGTCACACAGCCTCTGCATGCTCTCAAAGCTGGGGGGGAAGAACACAGGGTCAGTCCACAACAGGCAGGTTTGAAGGTGCAACCTTAGGCTTTCCTGTCAGTTAGGTGGGTATTTATGGTTTGTTTCCCTCAAAATATATAATTACATACATAGATTCAATACTTTGTTTCCTTTAAAAACTATTCCCAGTACACCCAGAACATGACAAATAACATTATTTTCTTTTTTACAAGTCATACTTTGAGTTCAGTCCTTCTGTTAATTAAAGTTCTGTATTCTCAGAGCCCAATAATCTTCCATATTCTCAGCTGCACATAAATTTAAGACATCTGTACATTTTCCTCCTTTCTTCCATCATCTCTCCATGATAATCAGTCCTGAGACAAGCAGATATTTTGTCAGCAATTAATTCTGGGACTGAAAATGCAGCCAAAGCCAGGACACAACCTAGAATGTCACCCATTGGAAAGCATATGGATTGCTCCATGGGCTGGGTGGGATTATGGTGAGTCCAGACAGATGCCTTAATGACAAACACTGAGAGGATTAAATAAATTCATCTCAGGCCAGGGAAGAAAAGATATCCCTAGGAACATCATCTGTTACATAACCAGACCCACAAAGCAGCAGCAAAAACAATACAAGGGGTTACAGGAGTGACATAATTAAATCATGGCCATTCCCAAAGCTGAATGACCCCTGATGACCAGGGGACATCAGAAAGGAAAGGACACTTCAGCCTCTTGTGACCCTCAGTGCCACTACCCTGGCCAGGACACCTCTCCCAAGAGTTCTGCCCATTCCACTCCAAGCTTCCAGCTGTCTGTACTTGTTCCCATGCTGGGACAGAGCGAGAGGCTGCAACGTGCTTTGGTTGCACAGCACATGCGTTTCCATAACCTGCTGCTCCTCACTCACATCCCTGGATATTCCATCTGATACAAGTAATTTTCCTGACAAATTTTTTCAAAGGAAAAAAAAGACTGAAATCATTACCAAAATTCCAGGTTTATGAGTTCCTTGAAAAGCTGCAGGAACGCGAGTGGGTGTGACTTTGAGGCACTGATGGGTTTCTCTTTCATTCAGCATTGCTGCTGACCACACTGATGCTCCCCAGTCAAACACAGCCAGGGAGGATGCCAGAACTAATAAAATTCCAGCACTGCAGCTGCTGTGAGTAATCCACAAATCCAAATTAATGGATTTGATGATAAGGGATGCTCAACTCTGATTTCTCCTTTTGCATTTTTCAGGAGGAAGAGAGGAACTAACAAGTCTTGCAATGAAACAATTAAAAACTGAGAGAGGAGGATCATGAGAGCATGAGACAAGTATCCAGTGCTTGGGAGGGTTAGGCTGGATATTAGGGAAAAGTTCCCCCCCCCCCCCAAGGGCACTGAACAGCTCCCCTGGGCAGTGGTCACAGTCCCAAGCCTGACAGAGCTCCAGGAGTGTTTGGCCAATTGCTCTCAGGCACATGGGGCTGTGCTGTGCTGTGCAGGGCAGGGGTTGGACTGATGATCCTCGGGGGACCCTTCCAGCTCAGGAGATTCCAGAATTCTAATTAGAGCAGTTTCACCTGTAAACCTCATTCTAACTAGTTATGTTGTGGACTTGGACAAATTCAGTCTTAGCCATGAAAGCAACTAAGGAGGATTTTGTAAACTGCAGCTTGAGTATCATCCCCTTTCCCAGTGTAATTAGAGCCAAATCCAAGCACAGAACCTCAGACCCCACCAGAGATACACCACAGGTGAGGATCTGCCTCTCCCAGCCTGGAGGTGAATGCCACATAGTAGACATTCATTGTAAGCTATTTGTGGATAGGAATTCACATGTAACTACAGGAATCTCAGAATGACTCTAACTGCCCAGAGGTCTGGCATGAACACTACTTTTTAGCTTACCTCCACCCCCCAGAGCAGTCCATTTAGCCCCAGTCCTGAGCAGAAGAGGAAGGGGAAGGTGAGCCTCACACAGCCAGGGCACTGACAGCTCTGGCATGCCACATTCTGAACAGGAATTCTTAGTTACTACACACGTAGAAACCTCACTGCCATTCAGATTCCCTCTCTGGCCACAGCCCAGGGTGCAGACACTGATCATTGTTTGGGAGCGAGTAATTCCAACATATACCAGAACTCAGCTCGCTGCTGTGTGGAGTTTCCAATTATGTCCTTAATCCAACAGCCTTTGCCAATAATGCTGTTTCACATTTCCTACCAAAACAACTCTGCAGAGTCTGAAGCCAGTTCTGAAAGAAAACTTCAGTTGGTAATGTCTAAGAATAACCAGTTACACACGGGGTCACTACAAACAGTGCCAGCCTGTCCTCCTGCTGGGACAAAAATATTCCTCTCACCTTTTTGTATCATAGTCAATTAAAACATAGTTTTCCATAGCGAGCTTGAGATCTGGTATTTCTTCACAGACCCACCTGGAATGAGAAAAGAAATAGTGAATGAAAGTAGTGCCAATTAAGTTGTTTGTCTCAATTCTAGACTGGCACTGCTGTACACGGAGAGAGGACAGTGCAGCAGCCCTGGAAGCTCACAGTGCTGCTGGGAGTAAGGCAAACATCACAAAATCTCACTGGAAAGCTGCAACAGTTCACATTTGTACTGAATAAACAGCAAGGTGCCTGTAGACATCGGCAGGAGCATAAAGGTCTTGAAATGCCACAGCTTCAAAATGAGGTGATAAATGCATTGAACATGTCTAAAAATACCCAAAGCCAAGGCTGATGCCAATCTAACATTAAAAGTGATGCCCACATGCAGCATTTCCAAGGAATGCTGATACTTATATTTGACAAAGCTGAATGTGGAGAAGACATTTCCTACAGCACCTCAAAACACTATCACTGACCACTCACCTCTCAGCAAGGATATTCTCCTCTGAGTGGTGTCTAAACTGCTCTTACACCTTACACAATCCAACCAAACCAGATTGTCAGGAGTTACATTGATAAAAGATCCCTTTGACACACTGAGTTAGCACAGCCCTGTATGTTGTGGCCATCAGAAATGGAAAGTACAAGCCACTACACTTGAACACAGACTCCACCAGCACTGGAGTCGAACATCAGCACTCATTTTTCATGCTGTCCAGAAGAGAATGGAGTACAGCAAGATAAAACAAGATATATTTGCCAGGGAGCTATGTACTGCAACAAATTCAGCTCAGAAAATAACTCAGAGCTGCTAAACACTGACTGCTGCCCTGCTCTGTGTCCTGTCCCCAGACAGCCCTTCCCAGGGTGCAGAGGCACAGGCAGGGCCCAGCCATGGGGCACTGAACACTCACCGAATTGTCTCAATGATTTCGTGAGCAGCATCATGGTGTTTGTCCTGCAATGAAAAGAAAAGAGGCATTAGGTGCTGTTTGCCAGAGAGATAATAGGAATCACAACATTTTTAGGAATACAACTGCCAAGCATACTGGAAAAGGAGCCTTTGATTGCCACCCAGGCCATTAAACCCATCAAAATGAGCTCTCTAAGAAAAAAATCAGGCTTAAGGAAATACATTTTCAGGTTTCTATGGAGTAGCAGAAGATAAGTAGAATGACAATTCCTTCATGTTAACTTCTTTGCCATTTTCTGCAATCAGGAACTCTGTAGCAGCAACTCTTTGAGGATTATTGGGATGTGGCAGGTACTTGGATGCAAGTCCCACAGTGAACAGCTGATTTCATGGCCCAGCACCTGGCACACACTCACATCTCCAGATGGGCACTGAGATTCTGGGACAGTGAATGGCTTTCTAAAATAAAGCAACAAATAATCAGGAGGAGCAAATATCAGTGATGCAAAACCACCCTCAGAGCACACACATACACACACAGAAAAGGAGCCTGGATGTGCAGCTGTTTTCATGAGCTGAAAATCAAACCACATTAAACCTTGTGCATCATGGACACTAGGCTGAGGCACAGGGGTGTGTTGCTTTGAATTTGAAGTTTACTCAGGAGCAACAGAAACACAAGTGGGTTTAGCAAATCATTCAAAAATTGTGCTAACAAAGCCCTTGGAGCTCCATTTGTATGCATCATGCTATTTAGGGAAAGCACCGGAGTTCCTCTACATATTGTTCTATGCAGCCTCAGTTAACAGAGCTCATCTGCACAGAGCTGAGTTTATATGCAGACATTTGTTTCTGGAAGTGGCTTTGACCTTTTAATTAAGAGTCACCTATCTAAGGACCTTCCAGAGCTACAAGTGTAAAGGCGCACTCAGCTCCCAAATCATTGTCCTTGTCTCCTGCTGCAGAAATGGCATTTCTGTAGTTACTGGGGGAAATTCCACAGCAAAGGGCAGGGACAGGCACCAAAGCAGAGGATTAGGGGCAGGGGAAGGAAGAGAATGGATGAAGAGCAACGCTGATGGTTCTGATAGCAGAAAGAAGCTGGATTATCTCTACTTCAAGACATGGAAGGACATGATATAAGCCAAATAGAAGCTTTTTCAATTAGTATCAAAGCTTTCCTAGTTGCATGAGGAAACAGATCTCCCCTTGTATAACCAGTTTATACCCTGGGATGAGCCAGGCCTGCAGAAGTTCTCATTGCAAGAAACTTGTACACAGCTCTTTAGATACCTGGTTAAACATCTCATGACAGAGGGGTAGAAAGGCAAACATTTCTGAGGTCTGTCATCCTTCCAGTACCGTAGTGGGGCTTATAAAAAGGAGAGAGGGACTTTTTATATGGGCAGATAGTGTCAAAACAAGGGGAAATGGCTTCCCACTGCCAGAGGGCAGGGTTAGGTGGGCTATTGGGAAGAAATTCTTCCCAGTGAGGGTGCTGAGGCACTGGCACAGGTTGCCCAGAGCAGCTGTGGCTACTCCACCCTTGGGAGTATTCCAGGCCAGGTTGGACACAGCTTGGAGCAAACTGGGCTAGTAGGAGGTGTCCCTGCCCACAACAGGGGGTGGAATGAGATGAACTTTATGGTCCTTCCAAGTCAAATCATTCCATGATTCCATACTAAAGATATTAAGGAACATGCCCTATTTCACTAAAAAAAAAATTTTTATTTTTGAAAGCAAAAAGTTACCTCCACATCTAAGAGTCACAAGAGAGACTAAGCAAAGAAAATCAAAAACATTTCAGTTACAACATCAAAAAGGAGAAAAGGCCAACATAAAAGTGGTCAGGACACTCGGGACGGCACACACAGAAGCCTAGAAGCTGAGTGCTGCCTTGGCCATGCTTAATAACAACATGCTGATGCTACAAAGCACACTAAACATCACAGAACAGATCTGGAGGTGCTTCCTCCAGCCTAAGGCATGGGCTGGGACAGCCAAACCCAACAGAAACCAACAGCACCACTGAACAGTCACTCGGGAATGTCAGGCCAGTGACTCTCTTCATAAACCTTGGCATGAAACCAGTGAACGAACTGAACCACAATCTGCTCCTGCCTCTCAGGGCACATCGAAAAGAAGGGAGTGTGCTCTCTCTGCCTTCAGATGCACTGAAGAGAGTGCACAAGGGAGGAGAACTTCTTTCTTCTCGTTTCTTATCTGCCAAGTGGAAGAACAGCCCAGGACAGCAACTCATCCATAAACATCCCTTGTAAAGGTTCCCATTTCACTACATGCAGAATTATCACAGCAGAGCCCCCTGGGCTGATCCAGCTCTCCCAGGAAATTGTATTCCTGCATAGTTGGAATACGCTTTATCAACATAAGCACATTATACTGGAAATGGGAATTCATGCTCATTCTGGCAGAACCATTTTCTCTGAGGAAGTTCTATTCCTCACTGCTGGTTTGGACAGGTGCAGTGCTAGCAGAGCACATGAGAAACCCCTTGTCCTGCAAGTCCTTAAGAAAATACCCTTATAAATTACCAAAACTGTTTAATTAAGATTCCTTTGTCTTGGGTTAAAAAGTGAAAATTCAATTAAAAGATATAATAATAATAAATCACACTTCACATCTACAACAACAGACCAGCCAATTTAAGCAAGTGGTCTACTAACACAACCTCATGTGGAAACTCCAGCCAGAAGGGGCCTCTGATCTCAGGAATAATGAAATAAAAAACAGTTCCACATCTACTGCTGCTAAATTTCTCATGTTGAAACACTTCCCAAGTTTACTACACTCTATAACTAACATACTTTGGCCAAGCAGACAAGCTCCCAAGGACTCATGCAAGTCCTGCAAACAAAATCAAATATAATCTCCTAACACTTTTTCAAAGCAGAGATGGACGTGGAAAATGGAGGAGGGAAGAGAGGAACACATCTGAAGGGAATACAGAGCAGTTTCCCTTTAGAAAACTTTCTAGCCCCATTTCAACACTATGGTTGTAAGACTTAATAAAAATAGACAATAAACAGCACATGTGTATTCATGAAACTGCTTATGACACTGATAGTCCTCAGCAAACAAGAGCCAAGTGGAATAGAAACCTCACCCAAAGCCCTGGCTGCTCCTGCCAGCCTCTGCCATCAGCCTTCCAAGCAGATGCTCTGGCTTGTGGCAGACACACCATGGAGCTTAAATCCAGCTTAAACCTGGATACTTTACAGACCCAGGGGATGAACACTGAATCCAGCAGGTTGGGAGGATGGATGGTGGTTCTCAATGGCTCTGCTACAGTCCAAGCTGCCTGACACCAACCTTACACTGCTCAGCCAAGAGCCAACGCTGCACCTTCATTGATGACCTGAAGCCTCTCAAATTCAGATGCAGTTTTAAGTTTTGGGGGTTCTGGAGGTTTTTTAAAATTGGTTTGGTTTTATTGTATTATTTTTCCCAGCTACACTGCCCCATGGTCCACCCCTGCTGGCAGCTACCCCTCTGGTGTACAAGTGTTGTGTTGGACTCTGGCAGCAGTCAGAGCTCTACGCTGTGCCTGCACCCTCACTCGCAGTGCTTTGGCAGGAAAAGCTCCTGGGGAAGAGCCTCCTGCAGCAGCCTGGCTACCCATCCTGGCTATCTATCATGGAATGCTGTGTGCAGAAGCCTTTTGGCCAAGGCTCCAGAAGTCTCTGTGTTCTGTGTGCAGTCAGGAGATGATGCCACGGTGCTTTCTGTCATGAAGAGCAGCTCCACTGACCCTCCAGTTCCACTCCAGGCTGCTCCCTCTCTGTCCCTCCTTCCCTCTATATGCTGCTCCCTGGCCAGGCTGTACTTCTGCAATGTTCTTGTATTTATGTCATCTGAGAGGCCCTTGGAATCTTCTGAGCCACAAAAATGGAAGCTTTTCATGAGACAAGGCCTTATCTCTTTAATGCAGAAAGTATTTAAAGACTTGCAGTCTGTAGTAATTATTGAGACTGCCCAAAGCTATCCACAATGGGTTTATAAAAACCCCAAACCGAAACACACACTGAGTTGGCTGCAGTCAATCCACTCCAGCTGAACTTCTCAGAGTCCTGATTTTCAGTTTTAAATGGAAACATGAGCTCCCAGAGAAAGTTCAACAGTTTCTGCCACGATATTTCATTGGAAAAAAGACCAGAAAGCAACCAGACACTTTCTCAAAAGTCACTTCAAAGAGAATCCAACTTTCTACGGCAAACAGTGGAGCACAGCTCCAGCCAGCAGCACTGAACAGCCTCACAGTTCCCATTCTTACAACAGGTTTCTCCATCCACATGTTCCTACAACTCACAGGAGTTGGGAGTCTGGAGCCATGAACACACCCACTGCTGTTACCTGGAGCACAGCAGTGCCCAGGAGCCACACCAGGTACCCAGCACCTGCCACACACACCCCCAAGATGAGTCCTCCTACAGACACCAAACCCCTGTTGTCCTTCAGGCCCTGTGGATTGGGCCACAGAGAAATTTGGAAGTTTGATCTTTTCCTTCACCTCCTCATAAAAAACACTCTTTGTATGTTATAGATACAAGAAGCCCTAATAGGCGATTTAAAGGCCAAATAAGACAGTGCTCAAAAGCTCTTTCCAAATATGTATTTCAGTGCAAGCATTACCATTTTCTACAATCGTACTCTTTCTTTGGTAACCCTAATTTAAAAATCACCAATGTGACCAGAACTGAGGGTGTCTAGGCACTTGAACAGCTCCCCAGGGCAGTGGTCACAGCCTCAAGCCTGACAGAGCTTAAGGAGTGTTCGGACAAGGTCCTCATGCACATGGTGGATTGTTGGGGCTGTGCTGTGCAGGGCAGGAGTTTGGCTGATGATTCTTGGGGGTCCTTTCCAGCTCAGGATATTCTATGGTTCTATGAGCTCTTAAGTTCTCAGTAGCACTCACACATTTTACTCTCCCTCCAGTGTAAGGAAATTAAAGCAGCCCCAATAGTATATATTACAGGGACAGAGAGGTCATAGTCTGCACGACACAATCAGTACCAGACACAATCAGT